GTAAATAAGCAGGCATAAAATTTTGCTAAACCATCTGCAATTTGTTAGTTACCAATGCATGCATACATTAAAGAGAAAAACTGTATGCACATCAAAAGCTTTATGTTACCTTTGACAACCTTTCACTATCTATTGCCACAAGCTTCTTCAAGAATTCCTCACAATCAGCCTAAAAATGAGACAAAAAATATTAAATTAAATATACTTTTTTCATTTGTTTATTTTGTATTTTAAAATCTTTAGCCAGTGCAATAAATATTCAGTGTTTTGGGTGTAACAAAAAAGGTATTAAAATTCCGTCACTTCTACTGTGTAGGTTGACCTCCACCTTGACCTTTAATTGACCTTTTAGAAGAAAGAAGCAGGGTGACAAGCTGCTCCAGCCATGTACAAGTTAAGGCCAAAAAATATAAGATTATATTTTAAAACCTTTATTGAAAATCTGAACCTAACCAATGTTTGGCCCTCTAACCATGAAAATAGTAATACCTTCGAATGTTTCAAATCTTACCCCCCTCCCTCCATCATTTTATGCCCAAACTCCTTTATAAACATTGACACCATGCAGCAGACTCCTAGCTAATGCAGCTCAATTTGGAGGACAAAACAATGGAAGTTTGCCCTCATGAGAAACAAAATATTCATTTCTTATTGTCCAGGAATAAAACTTTTAAATTAAAAATTGAACTGCAAGAGGCTTATAGTAGCATTAATTAATAGTAAACCTATTTTTGGTATAAATTTTAAGCTCCAGTGTGTCATAAATGAAGTAGCCAGATTTTTACAACGAGCTTAATTCCGCTTGAACCTTATTACAAGAAAACAATTTCATATCTCCAAAAAGGTTGCTTATTACAACAAGAAAACTTAGCAAACACCTAATTATTAAAACAAAGTCCATATTTACTGATGATGTGCTAAAGGTTGAACCTTTACCTGTCGTTGTGAGTAGGATTCAAGCGCGTGACTGTCTAGTTTATCGTCATGAACATGAACTCCAATCGCTGTGGCAAACTCAGGGCTCGTCCGAAGGCGCCACTCCCAAAACTCCTCAAAAATAGCTTTGACCTCAGCATTCATAGTCACTGGTAGGCACTTATAAACAAAATTACGAATTCTAGGGAAGGATTCTTTGAATTGAACGGTGAAGGATTGAAGCCAAAGAAAAAAAAGCTTTGAATTCAATTCTAGGACAAAAAATTTGCGCGTCTAAGTCGTTCTCGCCAGGCGTTCCAAAAACAGTGAGAGAAGGACTGGATTGAGAAGAGTGTGAAAGGTATTTTGGGTCAAAGTTTAATCGCATTACGGACAGAATAATGGCGACCGAAGTTCTAAATGGAATTAATGGCTGTAATGGGCATCAAGAGGAACGATTCTCGTTATCCAAGGTTCTACAATCTGCCAACAAGCTCCTGATTCATGGAGGGAATATCTCACAATGGAATCGGACCAAAAGAAAAACTACACCCAACCCTAGTGATGAGGTGAGGCTACATACAATACCTGCAGTATTTTTGCTGTGTCATGTCTCATAAAATTCTTCAGGCAACTCTTGAATCTTTCTAAACTAAATGTATTATAGTATAATGACTAAATGATACTTAAAATAGGGCTTTTTCAAATATATGTACGGTTATAACATCTTTAATAAGTAGAAATAATTCTATATTTTGGTCGTGGTCCACGGTTCTATTTCTGAGCGTATTTATATTGTTAAGTAATTATAATTTGTTCTTTCGCTTGGTTGATGAATAGTTTACCTTATTTGCTTAACATTCTTTGAAATAAGATAGAAATACATGGTTAAATATTTTGAAAGGGTCAACTTTGCGTAGTTGTCGCGTGTAAATTGTTTTCAAGACCTGGTGAATTTAGAATATTAGGTCATTATCCTTGAAACATAATTGACAAAAATACTACTTATTAATTATATAAGAACTGTTTATCGTCGTTCGTAAGGTTCGAATTTGTAGCCTTTGTTTTCATATCTAAAAAGCTTTTCTTCTTATTTATTATCATTCATTTATAACAATATTATCAGACATGACAGCTGTAGCTGTCATGCATGAATGTATATAAAATATAAGTTATCATTTACAGGTCCCTTAATTTTATCAAACGAAAAAAATAAAAAATTTTTGATATTAATTTGTTTCACTAGACATCCATTCCTGTCTTGTGCAAAATTTTCGCAGTTGAATCGCCATATTTAGAACTTTCCCGAATAATTAGCTTAAGCTAGAGTAAACACCAAACAATGGGTCCAATTTCTATTTATAATAATAATTTATTCAAAAATACTTTCAAATAACAATAATAATAATAATAATAAAACAATAAAAAAGAGATTATGAACATAAAATAACAAATATATGTACAAATTACTTATATATCGATGAAACCATATTTGTAAAATAAATCAATAGCTCAAAACACGAGTCCAGCTCTTCACACTGATATAATATTATATTAAAACTATGCATATATTATTAAAATCTAAATATTTCTAAATTTTGGCTACATTGGCGTTGACGTTAAAAAGGGGTTCTTGTCCCCCTGACACACATGTGTGCTGACTTTTTTATWATTTTTTATYTATTTWTTATTTCAAAAGATAATYGAGTTCTAATCCACRTTATAGCACTTGCATAYGTRYCCCCTGTCTTCTTGGTTAACTTCTCAATGGGTCCAATAACAATCATATAAATTGATATAAAAATACTCTAAATGTGTGAATACATCAAGGTCAACCTCCACTTAGAACCATTTTTTGTTTTGTTAGGGGTCATTCAAGCGAACTATTAAGTCTATTAAGTTTTCAATAGAAATGTTTCTGGTTGACAGCACATTGTTTTCATGCAATGTCATGATCACTACCGTATTTTGTAGCATGCTGATAATTTTTTTCAAAGATTTTTATCAGCTGATTAAGATACTGATTATATGCAACTCTTTTTTAGCTTTGTGAAAGCATAAYCACAACATTGAGCAACTGTCTTCCAGTGGATAACAACAACGTTGAAAATCAAACTCATGTAAGTAAAATATATTTCTCATCAGAGTTGCATCTACAGAGGTTTAGAATATTGGGGAGTGAGAGCAGGTCTTGTTACAATATTTATTTCAAAGTATAGCACTAGTTACTTTGATGTAAAATACCGGTTTTGATTACTATGTCAACTTGAGATTGATTCGCTGTTGAACATAGTAACTTGTCAAGCACTATATATTTTTATTTACCAATAATTATCGCTATTGGTTTGCTAAATTTAAAGCTCCCACAACCAATTCCCTCCTGCTCTTCATCAGTGCTGAATTGAATAAGAGTTGGGTTATATTTTCAATTCCCTAGGGAACTTTGACAATTTCATATTTATATTGACAAAATGCTTGTCTAAATAAAAGCCAATGAAGCTGAAAAGAATCCTAAAACTTTTTTCCCTTTTTAGAGCAAAACTGTCAGGAGTGTAAACAACTGCTTTGTCGAGAAAATTGATAAAGAAGAAAGAGTCCACTTAAAAATATCAGGTAATAATGACTCAGTTGTACTGAAAATAATCAAGGTTGACTATTTCATGTTCATAATATGCATAAAATATATATCCATACCTCTTTCGTGGTGGGCGATTTGAATTTCCATGCATGGGGTGGTAGGGATTGGAGGTACTGAAGAAACCATGGAGTGGAGCTCCCACCCACACAAAAAATTGCCCTCAAACAGAGAAGAAAAATTAATGTACACATGTAATATGTCAAACCCAAGCTCAGAAGTTAAGTAAAGAAATAGAAGAAAAGCCAGGCCTAATAGTAATTAGTATGGAACTTGATAAACATTTGATTAAGAAACTAAACGCAAAGTTTAAACGCAAACAAAAAGTTTAATTTATGTAATGTTGTTCATCAGGGAATTAAAACCAACCCGGAACGTCCAATCAGACTCAGTGAAAGCAAAACTTTTTGTTTGAATGTGTACATATATTTACTTTGTCATACAGTAATTCACTCTTGATCTGTCTTTAAATGTTGTTGAAAATGTTGACAGGATGTGATCGAAACGTCCAGCAATTCTTGCATTTATTTTCTTAATCAAATAATAGTAATTGATAATTAAATAAAGACATAAAAATATGGAACTGGAATGGCAACTTGGACTGGTCATCAATGGTAAACTGAATTTTGGAATAAGATTGATCAATAATCAATCCGATTTCTTTGCTAAAATTTGTTTTAATAGCTAGTCAACATTGTATCCATAGAATTTTTTCAAAAAAAGCAGTTTTTAAAGTGTTTCGATCCGGAGATCCACCTTACTGAAGTCCAATCCATGGGCCATTCCAGGATACGATTCC